TTTAAAAAAAAAATTAAAAAAAAAAAAAATAAACATGCCAGGCACAGTGACCCACACCTATAATCTCAGTGGCTCAGGAGGCTGAGGAAGGAGGGGATTGCTAGTTCAAGGCCAGCCTCAGCAAAAGTGAGGCACTAAGCAACAAATAAAATACAAAATAAGGCTGGGGATGTGGCTCAGCAGGCGAGTTCCCCTGAGTTCAGTCCCCAATACTGCCCCACCCCCGAAAAATCTTAAACATTAAAAAATTAAAAGGGCTGGGTATATGACTCAGTGGTTAAGAGCCCCTGGGTTTAATTCCCAGTACAAAAAAAGCACATCCCTTTGAAGAAAAACAGCTGGCACTATGACATTTGTCAAAGCCAGCCTCAGCAACAGTAAGGCACTAAGCAACTCAATGAGACCCTGTCTCTAAATAAAATACAAAATAGGGCTGGGGATGTGGCTCAGTGATGGAGCGTCCCCGACTTCAGTTCCCAGTACCCACACACACACCAAAAAAAAAAAAAGAAATAAAATCCAGGAGGAAGCTGGGCATGGTGGCCAATAATCCCAGTAACTTGGGAAGCTGAAGCAGGAGGATCACAAGTTCAAAGCCAGCCTCAGCAACTGAGCAACTCAGGGAGATCATGTCTCAAAATAAAATGGGCTGAGGATATAGTTCAGTGGTGAAGACCTTCTGGGTTCAAACCTCAGTACCAAAAAAAATAAATAAATATTATATATATCCATCCATCCCCCAGGAGTAGCCACGTACAATTGCACACATCTACAATCCCAGTTACATGGAAACTGAGGAAGAAGGCAGCCTTCACAACTTGGCAAGACCCTGTTTCAAATAAAATAAAGGGCTGGTGATATAGCTCAGTGGTAGAGAGCTTGACTGGCATATGCAAGGTTCTGGGTTCAATCCTCTGTACCTTAAAATAATGATAATAATAATAATAATAATAACAATAATAATAATAATAGTCTGGAAACACTATTTTGAAGGAAAAAAAGCTCACACTGCTGAGCAATGACCAGTTTAATCCCATTTTAAAAATAACATTCTGCAACACAAAATGAGTCATGATATTAACTGTGGACTAATTAATAACAATAGATTGGTATTGGTATTCAACTGAGCTATATATATATGCCGCAGTAATGTAAAATGTAAAGAATACAGGAAATAGGAGGGGGAATATAGGAATTTCCATACTATCAGTTCAAATTTCTAAAACCGGTCTAAAAAATAAAATATATAAATTTCTTTAAATTCCCCATATGGAGACAGATTTGCAAGGTAACTACTATATAGCAGACAAAAAGCTAGAAAAATCTACATATGCTTCCAGTGGTCACCTACAAAGAATGATACTGAAAAGAACATATCCCTCAGCACTGTCTCAACTTTCTACGTTGAACATTAATATAAAGAGAAGCACTGCAGCATATTAGCAGCTTGGATTCTGAATCAGACTACATGGACTCAAATTTCAGCTCCATGATTTACCTAGCTAATAAACTTTGACACTTACATAAATTCTTCATTGCCTCAGTTTCCTAGCCTGTGTAATAAGAATAATAATATGTCCTCACAAAGCTTTTGGGGAAATTAAATGACAGTACATGCAAAATGGTAGAAAACTGGTACATAATAAGTGCTCAACAAACGTTAATCATTAT